ACAATAATAAATGTTAATTTAATCACTTTACCGTGAATAGATAAATGTCTGGATATTAATGATATTAACAAAACATGCCCGAATAAAAAACTCTAATATTATTAAAACCATATGCCCAAAACAATCCGAAAGCAATTATTCCAAACTCAGTCAAACAATAATATCCAAAATATGAAAAACAAAAAAAAAAACAAAAAAACAAAAAACAAAAACCAAATGTCTAAAACATCGCAATGAAGTTATAAGTCTAACGTGAAAAACAAATATAGTATCAAATGCATTACTGGTGAAAATTGTTTAGTTAGGTCATCTAAAATTTCATTATTTGAACTTATTAATCTAATAACATAGTACCAATTGTTTTTATTATTTCAATCACATAAAAAATATAGGGCATATTAGTCAAAACAAAAACTTAAATATTTGATCTAAGTATATAGTGTTGTTTCTATGCGAACTTGTCATAATTAATATATAAATAATATTTTTGACATGATTTCAATTATTTTATTACAAAAAAGAAGAAAAAATACATATAAATAAATGAAATAAAACGATCTTATACATTAAACAAAATTCACGTAACAAAATTTAAAAAAAATATAATCTATTTAAAACATAAAAAACAATTAATTAAATAATTTCTTTAACATGTATCACTTTGGTCACGTTCTTTGTAGGAAATGAACTCGAACAAATATATCTTCCCCGCTTCAATAGCACTTCAGCCTTGATATTCAAAAATAACTTTTGTTTTCTAATTCGTAAATTATATGCTACAAATTAAATAAACGATAAACAAAAACACGGTAAATAATATATTCATTATATAATACATTAAAAATAATAATATTAATACGCATGTTACCAACCTTTTGATTTCATTAGAGGAAACGAATTTTCTCAAATTTTATATTCGCATTGTCGATCTCAAAAAATCCATCTTCTAGTTCATCTTCAAAAAATACAAATAAAAAAAATATTTTGTTAGATAAATATATCTACAAATAGGTAAATAGGCTTATAATAAATAATAATATGCAAATAGTTAAATGAAATATGCATAAACATAATATAAATTGAGGGGAAAAAAAAAAAGAGAAAAACAAACTGCAAAAAAAGAAAAGTAAATGTTCGAAGAATAGATTACAAAGATTTTTAGTTTCGACTCAGTGCCGCAAATGTTGATGGAGGGGACAAATGAAGTAAGAGGTGGGTATTTAATTTATACTTGTGTCAAATATATTAATAAGGTAAATTTCGTGAATGAGGAAATAAATATTACTTGTAATAATTTTAGTATATAAGCGAAATTAGATTCAAAATCGAATACTAAAAAATGGAAATAAAATCAAGATTTATGATATTATTACCCTCCCATATTAAATCATTCACATTTACAATTTAATATATTTAAAGCATACTATATATACTATCGGATTTAAAAAAAAAAAAAGGGGCTAAATACAGTTTGCACCATTAAAGTATAGGGTTGGTCACACTTACCCCTTAAAGCTACAAATGTAAGTATGTAACACTTATCCCCTCATTAACGAATTTAAAGGTAAAACTTTGACTTTGAATGAAGTGGCATTTTGTCTTCCCAAATTGTCCTTCTAGCCATTATATAAATAATGAATATGTAATAATAAAAAATTCGGCAACTTTGCAAAAACTTAATTTTATTATTTCAATATTGTAAATTTCCAAATGAAAAAAATTGAATTTTAGTTTAATTTTTGTTTTACTTTGTGTTCATTTGTAGCTAATAAAAAGGTAACAATTATTCGAATTTTAATTATGATTTTATAGTTCATATAGTTATTTAAATGCGTATATGACTCTAATATAATCATCCCACTTTTTACTTTGAGAATCACAAAATGTATTCAAAAGTTAATAAGAAATTATAATTTATACGTCTAAATATTTAAATATTTTTTTATTGAAATTTATATTTAAGTAACTGAAATAAATTTCCAAATCAATAATTATTATAAAAAAAATTGGACGTTAAGTCTTGAAAATATTTTTTTTCTTTCAAATGTTTAACGTATTTTATATATTTTTTAAATAATTGAGATTTTTATTTATATTAGGGTCTATAGTAATTAAAATGTGGAGTTAAACATAAATCAAAATATTTTTTTAATAATTATTATATTTTATAAAATTTAGTTTTTGAAATATTATTGAAAATATATTATTATATATGCATCAATATAATAGCTAGAAGCACAATTTGGGAAGAAAAAATGTCACATCATTCAAAGTCAAAGCTTTATCATTAAATTATCTAATAAGGGGGTAAGTGTTACATTTGTAACTTTAAGGGGGTAAGTGTTACCAACCCTATACTGTATTTAGGCCAAAAAAAATCAAATCATTACATAAAAACATTGTTTTCGAATAACTTTTGTGAAATTCTATAAACATAATATATTTCAAGGATTAATACTAAAAAATACATAAAAATACGAAAATATAAACATAATATAAAATAATTGATTATTCATACATAAAAAAAATGATTTTTCTGATTTAAAAAAAATATAGACTGAAAATATATTTCAAAAAATTTAAAATATTAAAAAAAGATAATATTTTTAGAATTTAATATATATTATATTAACCACAAATTTATTAACATAATTATTTAAATTACACATTTAAATAAAATAATGCGAAAAAAATACAATCAGGATATTACGTTTTTTGAAAAATTAATTAAGTGATATAATACATTTTTGACTTTTTAAAATATAAAATTCATGAAATAATTTTTAAAAATGGTAAATAAAATCAAGATTTATGATATTATTATTTACTACCCTCGGATATTCAATCCTTCACATTTATCAAATCAAACAATGAAAGTATGATATCTTGCCCAAAATTAATATATTAAGATTTATCATTTCTTAGAAATTTGTTTCAATTCAATGTATTTAAAGCATAATATAAATATACTATCGGATTTATAAAAAAAATAAAATCATTACATAAAAACATTATTTTTCGAATTAGTTTTGTGAAATTTTATAATTATATATATCTCAAGGAATTAATACTAAAAAATACATAAAAATACAAAAATATGAGCATAATATAAAAAAATGCGAAAATATATACATAATATAAAAAAATGAATATTCATACATAAAAAATGAGTTTTCTGATTTTTTGAATTATATATATATATATATATATATATATATATATATATATTCAAACCACAAATTTATGGACATCATTATTTAAATTACAAATTCAAACAAAATAATGAAAAAAATAAGCATATTACGTTTTTTGAAAAATTAATTAAGTGAAATAATATTTTTTTTTTGACTTTGTAAAATGTAAAATTCTAAAAGAATATGTATATGTTGTAATTTGTAAATGAATGTGCAAATGTTAAATAGGAAAGAATTTAAAAACATACCACGATTAAAATGCCTAATAAGCAATTGCGTATTACACATCATCAATTGCGTGCCAACTAAGCGATTTGAGAAAATGATATAGGAATTTGCCACATGTCATTCAAAGAGGGCATAGATCATCTTTATATATTATATATAGATAGTTAGGATTATTATAACAATAAGTTGCTTTGCTTTAGTGGTTAGTACTCTATTAAACCACTCGGGTCACCCGAATTTGAACCCCCTACTCAGTATATTTTGTGTTATTTCACTTAAAATCTGGGTGGACCCGACGGGTACTCGATTCGGGTCCTTGGATCCCCCCACCGGGTAGACCCATCGGTCTCGTGTCCAAAAAATCGAGACCCGAAACCGACCCCTTTGTCGGGTCAATGGTTAACGGGGCGATCTTTGGATCGGGTCCGGGTCAAACCCAGCCCCTGGCCGTGTCTACTTGCTTGCACCCACATATATTACACAATGCTCTCATGTTGCAATTTTCCTCCAAAATTTATTACAACACCTTATATTGCACGTGATTTCAGAAGGCGTAAAATGTGTAATAAACATTTTAGGGTTAAAGTACAAACTAACTCAAGAAAGAAGAAAAAATCATTTTTCTTATTTGAAAATTTGTATAATAAATAATAAAGTTGTTCTACCAAAATATCCAAAATATACCCATATTGTTTTATGAGCTAGAATCGTTCGGGCTCGTCCTGTCAATAGTTCGGGCGTGTCCGTGAACAAGTGCAAAGGCGCACTAGGCCATACGATCAAATATTGAAGTTCATCGCCAATTTTTAAAAGTTTTTTGTCAATTCTCAGAAGTTCAGTGTCATATCTTGTTAAGAAAAATACTCAACTTTTACACGTTCCCTGCCATATTTTTTGTCGAATTTCTACGCCACAATTTGTTAAAATACTCAATTTATTTAAAGGCTTACCGCCAAATATCAGAAATTCGCTGCCAATTTTTAGAAGTTCAATGTACCAAAAAATACTCAATTCTCATAATTACTTCCAATAAGTTTGTTATCATATTCTTTTAAATACTCAATTCAGAAGTACACTACCAATTTTAAGGAGTTCAATGTCATAATTTGTTAAAACTTAATTTCCGAAAATTCATTATCAATTTTTCGAAACTGTGGTGTCAATTTTTAGAAGTCTACTGTCAATTTTAGTATTATTACTACTATATTTTATTAAAAATACTACTTTCATAAAAATTCACAACCAGTTCTTCAGAACTTCGCTTCCAATTTCCATCAATGCCTTTCTCATAGATTAATCTTCGACAACACATAATGAAATATAAACGAAAAAAACTCGGAACTAGTAGCTACTAATTATAATCAACATCTTACACTTGGTTATGCTAAAAAAAACTCCAAGCGAAAAATAACCGATCGATTTCTAAAGCAAATATTTTTACCTTTCACACGTCGAAAATATTTTGAATATTAGCGATTGTAATCCATTTTATACATAAATAAAACACATGTATTTATATAATTTACAAATATACTCCTAAATTGTTTATATTTACACATTTGATCTCCACGCTCACGTGTCATAAATTTTCGTAATGAATCGTTTTCCATATCCGTCTCGGGATTTTGTCTTTTCCGTGTTGTCGTGTTTGCGCGGCGTAAAGTTAAGAGAGCATCTAGTATTTTTGTTTGGAGATTGTGTAATTGAATTCATACTCACAAAGTCACCAACACTTGTGCAAATCAAAATCTCATACCAATTGCAGAACCAGATTCCCCATAATTGATTATCCACACTTGACAAAAGTCATTTATATTGTGGCTTGGTTCAACATTAAATTACTAGTTGACTCTTTTATTTACAAGGTAAAAAGGTCATAATATCTATATCCCCACTTATTCCAAATTCTTTAGTCTTCTCTTATCATTTTCTTCTTCACATATTGATTAATATAATTCAGCCTTCTCTCATGGGTCGGAAAAAGCTTGCGATGAGGCGGATCGAGAACCCGACCTCCCGTCAAGTAACGTACGCTAAGCGCAAAGATGGCATCGTCAAAAAGGCCAACGAGCTCTCCGTTTTATGCGATACCGATGTTGCCCTCATCATGTTCTCGCCCACCGGCCGACTCACCAGCTTTGCTAGTACCGGAAGGTTCATAAACACACACACACACACACACACACACACACACACATATATATATATATATATATATATATATATATATATATATATATATATATATATGTATGTGATATATATATATATATGTGTATGTGTGTGTGTGTGTGTGTGTGTGTGTGTGTGTGTGTGTGTGTGTGTGT